TGACAAATATATCTGTAGAAGATAAAGAAGAGAAAGAAAAGAATTGACAATTCTCACATCTCTGAGTTCATGTTACAATCATAATGTATACCCTGAATGAGAAGATACTAGTGAGATGTCTACTCAACTTCAGAGTGAATATTAACTTTATATTCTATTTCTTTTCTTTGATGAAGAATTGAAAGAAGATAGATTTATCAGACTATGCAAAATTTACAGATGAAATGAAATGTCATTATTTTGACATAATTCAAGCAAAGTGTGTGATCACAGACTCAGAAGAAATCTTCAAGAAGAGCAGTCTGCTTCTTCACACAGTCAACATCATAGATAAGAATGTCATTCTAGGTCTCTTATAATTGAGAGAAAACAATTCTCTCATTGACTGAGTCACTCAGACATGATGATATCATCTCACTGATAAAGAGATAGTAATAGAGAAACCTGAAGAGTTTCATCAGAAGAATCTTGAGAAAAAGATTGAGTCAATATACTGTGTAGTAGATAATTAAGACTTGAAGATAGATAGAGAAGCTATCACTCTCACTGCAAGATTAGCAGCAGTATTCATTATTGAAGATGAATGTACATGACATCTCTTTACAGATTTTAAGAATGTCTTTTCAGAAAAGAAAGTAGTGAAGTTTTCTGATATCAAGATATAATATAAGATTTGTCTTGAAGACAGTGCAACAGTGCTGTACAGGCCTCTTTACAACTTGTCTGTAAAGAAGTTGAATGTTCTATGCAAATATCTTGAAGAAGTGCAATCAAAGAACTGGATACATTTATCAAAGAGTTCAGCAGGGGCGCCTATACTCTTTGTACTTAAGAAGAATGATAGGCTATGCCTATGCATAGACTACAGAGGCCTTAATAAGATGACAGTTAAGAATCACTATTCATTACTGTTAATTAATGAGATGATCAATCAATTATCTGAAGCAAAGATGTTCTTGAAGATTGATATACAGAATATCTATCATAGAATCAGAGTTAATGAAGACAACATTTGAAAAATGACTTTTCATATCAAGTACAGTAATTTTGAATATCTTGTTTTATCTTTTAGTCTTTGTAACACTTCAGTTATCTTCCAGGCCTATATAAATGAGGCACTGCAGGGCCTTGTCAATGTCTTCTGCATAGTATACCTGGATGACATTTTAATCTTCTTGAAATCAGAGAAAGAACATGATATTCATGTTCAAGAAGTGTTGAGTCACTTGAGACAGTATCAACTCTATGTAAACATCAAAAAATGCTTATTCTACATGCAGAAGATTGATTTCTTAGATTATATTGTTGAGATAAATAGCATTTCAATGAACAGGAGCTGAGTCTTTATCATTGAGAACTGGCTGATGCTGTGAACATATCATGAGATGCAGATGTTTCTAGAATTTGTAAATTTCTACAGACAATTCATCTATGCATATTCATGAATTACTGTCTCTCTTACAGATCTGTTGAAGAGAAGTGTGAAAGACAGGAAAATGAGATCATTTATTCTCATTCAAGGCACTGTGCAGGCATTTGCAGAATTGAAACAAGTTTTCACAGATGTCACAATGCTGAATCATTTTAATCCTGACTTATTCAGTCAGTGTGAGACTGATGCATTCAGAAATGAGATCTGTGAAATCTTTTCACAGTTGATACTGAAGATCTTTCAACATTGAAAGAATCAGAGAATAATCATCTCTGAGAAAACAGACAATGAATTGTCTGTAAGAGAAGACTTTTTCACAGAGTCTACAAGACACTGCAAATGAAGATCAGTGATCTTCTTCTTCAAGAAGTTATCACTTATGCAGAGAAGGTATGATACTCATGATCAGAAGATGTTAGCAATTGTTGAATTCTTTAAGATCTGACAACATTATCTTCAGAGTAGTAAGTACTCAGTGTAAGTTCTCACTGATCATGCAAATCTGCATTACTTCTTGACAACAAAGAGCTTGACAGAATGTTAAGTCAGATGAGTGAAGCTGCTTTCAGAGTATGATTTCTATATTCAATACTGTTCAGATCAGCTTAACCTCACTAATACACTGTCTAGACAGCCTGATTATAATATCATTGATGCAGAGAAGAATTCTACAAAAGAATCTCTGTCATCACTGCAGAAGAAGCTGGCTGCAGAGAGTTGAAGTTCTCTAAAGCTTAGAAACAGTGCTGGAGAGGCAGCTGCGCGACCCAGTATAGAAGGTGGAAGAGAATCTGGGTCTCTGCAGGAGACTGACACTGAAGATCATGAGCTTCTCATATCATATCTTGCAATCATTGAATTGACAAAGAATAAAACAGTCTACAATCTTTCAACTCAACTACTTTTGAAATTTATTAATAAGTTATAGAAGAGAAATGCCTCTACTACAGCTCAAATTCAAAAGTTGAAGAAGAAAGAATTCAGTTTAAACTTGAAAGAGACAGACTCTGAGTGAGACAGTGCTGCTAAGAAATCAAGTCACTGATAACTAGAAGAATGTAAACTTCTACTGCTGAATGATTCAGTCTTCATCTCTCATAGCAGAGCAGTGCATCAGGAGTTATTGAGAATTCATTATAATGATTCTCATATGAGACACTTCAGATTAGAGAAGACTGAGAAGCTTCTAAAATATAAATATACTTAAAACAAGCTCTGAACAGATGTCAAAGAGTATGTTGAAACTTATAATATCTGTCAAAGAATAAAGATCTCACAGCATAAGTAATACAGTGAGTCAACATCACTGTCTGTTTCAAAGAGCTTATGACAGAATCTATCAATGAATTTCATAGTTGATCTATCAAAGTCAACAAGAGTCAAAGAATATGACTCAATTTTGATCATTGTTAATCACTTCACAAAGATGATTAGATATATCTCTACTCATAAAAAGATTAAAGTCTCTGAATTAACTGACCTGTTTTTAGATATCATCATTCATGATCACAGTGCTTTAAAATCATTGATAACAGATTGAGAATCCCTCTTCATCAGCAAATACTGGTCAGCTTTTTACTATCATCTTATAATAAGATATCTTCTCAGTATTGCATTTCATCTGCAGATTAATGACCAGACTGAATACCAGAATCAGACACTAGAACAGCATCTTCAAGTGTTCTGTTCATATCATCAGAATGATTAGCTTAAACATCTTCTGATCACTGAATTCATATATAACAATGCAAAGAATGCAATCTTAAAGATATCTCCTTTCTATACTTATTATGAATATAATTCTTCATTACTCAGTGATATCACAGACAACATTTCAAAGAGAGAAATAGACAGTCAGAATGTCAGACAGATACAGAGAATGAAGTATCTCTCAGTGTCAGAAGTAAAAGTGAGATTGAAACTTTTGAATAAAATTCATGAGAAGACAGTGAAAAGCATTCACTGTGCTCAGAAGTAGCAGATAAAATACTATAATTAAAAACATCTTCTGATGAAGTTCTTAATAGAGAATCAAGTGCTACTTTCAGCAAAGAATATCAAGACAATAAGATTATATAAGAAGCTTAGTAAGTGATGACTAGAATCTTTCTCAGTAACAAGAGTAGTGAGTAAGCAGACATATGAGTTGAAATTATTCACAGAATTGAAATCAATTCATTCTATTTTTCACATTTTCTATTTAAAGCCCTATAAGCAACACTCTGAGACAGAGTCATCTCAGTCAGATAATATCAAGATTGAGAGTGATACTGAATATCTTATGAAGAAAATATTGAATAAGTGAATATATTACAGCAAGCTTCAATACCTTGTTAAATGAAAAGATTATTCATTATCAGAGAATTCATGAGAATCACTTGAGTATTTAGAAAATGCTGAGAAAGAGATTGCAATCTATGAAATGACTAGTAGAGACTGCTCTGTTACACATCAGAGACATTGAGTAAGAAATACTGCTTGAGACTTCTCATTTTTCTCAAAGGGTTTTTTTAGAGATAATCTCACAGTGATGAGTCAGTGTCTTGTAGACTCTGTAGCACTCTTCTTCTATTTTCTTTCAAAGAGTTTTTAGAAGTTTAATGAGACTACACAAGTGTAAAATTCCTGAAGCAGTTAGAGAAAAGAGATATTGAAAACTAATAAAAAGATTAATATTATTGATTCACAGATCACTGCTATTCTAATAGGGTCACAGCCTGCTGAAAAAGTAAAAAGAGAGATCAGAGTCTACTTATCAATAATCACATTCTCATCAAACTCATTCTTCACTGTTGAAGTCTCTGACACTGATATCTTTGTCTGTTAAGAAGTTAGCACTGTGATGCTGCAGAGAAGCATGCTGCAGAAGAGTATAAGAGATGCTGAAAGTATTAACTTATTAACTTATAAAGCATCTCAATCATCTGCTTCAACTGAAGTGAGATTCTCTTCAATCAGTAATTGATCTTCATAGCACTTTTAACAGTGATATCAGCTGATCTCTTCTTGAGATCAGTCATTCTGAGATGTTTTTTCATCTCAGAGATTCACACTTTCATCTTCTTTTACAGATGAGCAAGAGGGATCTTCTCAGTCTTGACAGAATTCATTAACACTTGAAGCTCTGAGACTCTTACTCTGTACTGCTTGAGCATCTAGACTTCTTGTCAGAACTGACATAATGCCTTTCTATGAGATGATACTTACAGAGAGACAGAAGTTGTTGTTACAGATACAACAGAAATAATGAGAGTGAAAGAAGAAGTGAATGTATAAAATTCTTCTCTTCTTCAGCTGCTTGACACAGCACAGACAAGTAGCAGTGCTGGTCAGAGACTGCACTGAAGCCTTCTCACAGAGAGAAGACAAAGAAACTGCAGGACTCTGCAGACTCAACTCAGCAGCATTCTGAGCAGGGCTTGAGTGTGCTGTGAGAGGAGAACTACAGATTGAGCTTCTCAAAGCCACTGTCCTCAGAATCAAGCTCTCTTCAAGTTCCTCTTCAAATGACCACACGGGGTCATATGCCACTGTATTGACTGAGGGGGGGGGCAGCGTCACAACAGCAATGAGAGGGGCAGAGGACAGATCAGACACAGACAAACTGATCAGCAGAAGAGATGACACCTCACTGCAAGACACAGTGACTATCACTGCAGCTGCAAAAGAAGCAGGAGAAGAAGAAGATGTGACAATGAGAGCAGTGCTTCTGTGGCTCATTGACACCATCATCTCCACCTTCAATCTGGCTTTCTTGGTGACCACAGAGGCCGTCGCCGCATCACAAAGACATTTGTTACTCACTAGAAAATGTCAGAATAAGCCCTTGATTGTTCTTCAAGAATGATACTCTCATGCACTCACTGTTGCAATTGAGGAGAGGGGAAAGAAAAATGTTTTATAAGAGAGAAGATCTTTTTGAAAAATCCTGTCACTACTGTTAGCTTTGTCTCTAAAATATATCACTTTTGCAGAGAATTTCATATATAGAATGAAATATGTTGAGAGATCTGCAAGTCACTTATTAACTATATTTTTCATATTTCAAATTGATATATAAGGAACTCATTTATCACATGTTTGGTTTGAATAATGATGAGAAAAGGAAGATCTACACAGTCAGCAGAAAAACTCATCTATTTCTTTGTATCACACACAGCACACACACTGTCAAATTGATTAATAACTGTTGCTATACAACAAAGATAATTTCTAATTCAGTAATCTTGAGAACATCAGAACTATACTCTTAAAGAGAAGGGCATTGTCACACTCTCAGCTGTGCTAAGGCCTCACTGCAGTTTCACACAGCTCATCACTTTCATGTGGATGATTTCATTCATCCTGCAGGCCAACTGAACTAGTTTCCAACTGCCATATAACATCATTCAGATATATCATAGAAAGATCTGATTGATGAATATGAGAACCCTGCTTCTATACAAGATCAGCAGATTACTCTTTCTTGACAATGAGGCATCACTGAGATAGCACTTCAGCTATTCTCACTCATGGAATGAGAGGAGAGTATCCGCTCATTGTCTATATAGAATAGCTAGATGCTGGCTTCTTATTAAAGGAGTCAGTGATTCATTTTACTTCTACTGAAATATACACAAGAGTTACTGCATGCCTCATACAATCTTCTTAGTATACTAAGTACCATATCTGTGATATCCTCACAATAACCCTGTAGCCTATGAGCTCGCTATTCAAGCAAGATAGTCAAGCTCACTCATACGGCTTCTCAAACAACTACCTCTATGTGTCGCCGCTGACTAGCCACTGCTTCGGTTCCGCCACGTTACAGCAGCTTTCATCTTTTGTAATTCTGTCTTACACATTATACTGTCTCTCTTCACCTGCTCAGTTCACTACAGTGAACAGCTCATTGAAACTAATCTCACTCAATCTCTGAGTGTCTTCAGAGGTCAAGATGACTTGATCTCATATATTCATGAATGTTTCAGATAGTTCATTCTTTGTGATCTCTGTGATTAAACTAATATAAACAGTTAAATTCAACTCTGAATCTCTTTTTCTTCTGTGATCTGACTTACATGCAAGTCTGCTGCTCTGAGATCACTCTTTATCATATTGCATCTGCTATCTATGATGTGTTATTATATGATCAGCTACAGTCTCATCACTTATTAAAGTGTGATATTTATCTGATTTCTTTATTTCTTCTCATTCTTTTCTTATAATTATGAAAAGATTAGAATAAGTGAGATCATCTGATTCATAAGTGTCTATGATTTCTCTTACTTTGTGAGACTTTTTAATTATAAGTCTCTTCTTTTTCAATGCTGACAATAGTGCTGCAGATAATCATAATCTGCTCAGATCTTGCATCTTTACTTTTATAAGTTATAAATTATTAATTAAGTTGTGTAAGATCTGTTTCTCTGATTTCTTCAATGTGTAAGTTCTCAGAGAATGTGATTTGAGTATTTTATAGAGTTTAAATCATCTAGGTTGAAACTTCTCAGAACTCTCATTATGTATGAGAACTTATGTTCTCATCTTAAGACTCAATTTCTTAACTAGTAAGTCTCATATTCTTTTTAATTGAATTGCTCAGTTCAGGAGTAACTTGTTAGCTTTTGTGTGTGTGTGGCTGATCTCTTTCAATCTTGGTTTCACATTTACAACTGCTGCATCTGCAACTGCTACTGCTGTGTCTATAACTGCTGTTTTCTTCTTCATCTTTTCTGAAGCATTCTCTGAGATGTGCGGATGCAATTCATACAACAGATAAAATAATGAACACTTGAAGACTGCATGCTGCTGAATTCGCGTGACTAATAGTGTCTGACTGAGATATTCATCTCATAATCTTGTAGACTTATCTACTAGATATTTTATCAGCATGTTGTTTAAAATTTCATTCAAGTGTTTCATCTTTCTATTTATTCATGAATAATATGATATTGTTCTATAATATCTTGTCTGTAACTGACTAATGAAATGTCTCACTGCTTCTTCTATAAGGTTTGCACTGTTATCAGTTAGAATCTCATATGATATTTTATAGTTGATATAGATCTCATCATGTAGAAACTTCATCATTATCTTCTCTATTATCTCTGAAACTACTTTTATAACTGATCAGTCAGTAGTGTAATCAATAGCAGTGATTATTCATTGATTTTCATTTGATATTCACAGTAATATGTCTATGAGATTCACTCTTCATTGTTTAAACAGTTGTATTGTATACTTTATCTGATATTGCACTTTCTTATATTCTAACTCTTTCTTAGATTCTTTCATGATCTGATAATTCAGGCACTCATGAGCATATGTCTGAATGTTCTCAGTCATGCTTGATCAGTATACTCTTGATTTGAGTACACTCATGAGTTCAGAACTTTCTAAGTGACTGAATTCCTTGTGCATGTGAGTCATTAAGTTCTGTTTAAATAAAGATTCTAGATAGAAAGCTTCTGTGTATTCTAGATTGTGATAAAGCACAATGTTATTTTTCAATTTTCTTAGCTTGAAGTTCAGAAGCATCTCTTCTACTACTCTCACAAGATGCTTATTATCTGACATCTTGTTATTCTTTAAGTGAGAGATTATAATGTTCACTTATTCTGATTTCTTGCATTCTCTCAGTGTGTTTAATATGAATGTTTCTTGTATCTAGTTTGCAGAACTCTCATTCATGAAATCAGGTCTGTGACTGATTATATCAGACATCACAGTGTCTGATTTCTTTCAGTATTTAATATGAAGATTGTATGCTTAAAACTCTGAGATTCAATATACTAAGTGTTTGAAAGGTTTTATTATTAATTGTAGATAGATAAGACTTTTATGATCTGTGATCATTATTATTGTATATCTGTTATTGATATATCTATTTTACAATATCAGTATATACTTGATCACTAGTAATTTCTTTTCATACACTGTAAGAAATCTCACTTCTCACGAATTCTTTACCTCTATTTCTATCTCTCACGTAATCAATAGAGCTAGTGGCTCTTGGCTACACACAACTATATAGACTGGAGTTCACAAATACTATTCATAACTCAGCTTGAATGCTATTATATATTTAATCTCTACATTTTATCTTTCTATTATAAATACTTCTAGTAGTTAACAGTATATATCACATCAAGCTGTAAACACCTGAATAATCACCTGTGAGCACATATTCTTATATTTCAAGCTCAGTCAGTCAGCAATCACCTGTTATGACTGAAAGAACTAGAAACTCATATACTTTAATCTCTGTGAACTCTACTGCAGGTATCAAGAAGCAGTCATCTGAATCATGAATAGCTCTTATGAAAGAAGTCTCAGAGAACTTATCAATTACTCATAAGATATCATTCTCTGCATCTATGACAGAGAAACTCTCTAAACTCATGAATAAATTAATCTCAGTGAAGAACATGCTTGAGCATCTCTCACAGAATCAAGCTATTTTTCTACAAGAAATACTTACTATCTGTAAAAACTCTTGAACTGAGTTTTTAGACATGATCTTCAGAGATATCTATGAACTGAAAAGAAACTTTCTTAAGCTGCAACTACTTAAGATTACTTATTAAATCACAATCTATAAAAGCTTTTGCAAGTTTGTATTTGAAATTAACTCATAAGTCTGACTGTGTAATATAAAAGATAAAGAAGCTATTATCTATATAATGACAGATCTCTATTATACTGAAGTCAAGAACTGACTGAATTATCTAGAGAATGATTATAAGAGATCTCACTGATCTGTTCTCAAGATTTATCTAGAGAATAAGTTAAGAGACTCTGTAAGTTAGACAGAGAACATCTGAACTGTGATTATTAATATTAAAAAAAGAGATAAGAAATCTGATAAAGACTACTTACAGTACTTTATAAAATTATAATGTGAATTAAGATCTGTGAAAACAGAGCTTTGAAATAAAATCTGAATAATGATATTTATAAAGAAGCTGAATAAAGATATATAAAACAAGCTCATTGAGTAAGACTCTAAGTTCTTGACTCTGAAGAAACTGATAACTCTTATTCACTGCTTACAGATCACTGTGAGAGTCACAGACTTATAAAGAGTGAATTACTGATCAGTTCTGTAAGAGTCAGAATAACAGAGAACAGATTTATCAGAAAAAAATAATAAGATATAGAGAGATTTGTATCTGACTACTGAGTAGAGAGAAAAAGCTTTATAAGCTTCTATAAATAGAGTGTATAATAGAGAGATTAAGAAAAAGAAACTCTTCTTTATCTATTCTAAATCAGAATATCTTCACATAAACTGTCTGAATAAATTAAAATAGAAATTTAAGAAGTCACAGACAGAGTCAGTGACAGTCTTCTTAAGAGTCTTAAAGCTGATATCTGAATCTGTTACTTCTCTGATGAAAATGCTTACTTATAGAGAGAGACTGTGTCACAGTACTGCTGCTCTGTAAGTATGAAAAGTATTAATAAACTCAGAATCTCAGATCACTGTGATGTCTTTAAAGCTCATGAAGTGAATGAACTGAAAGATGAAAACTGAGAATCTACTCTTATAATAAGCAGAGTACAAGAACTCAGATCTGAGAGCTGAGAAACTTATAAGAGTTATCTTTGAATTGTAAGATCTCTCTGAAATCTGAAGAAGATTTATGAAAACTATGATTATTACAGACATCACAGATGATATATATTTAAGACTTATATAACTTCAAAGACACAATTTATACATAGCTGTTTATGAGTCAGGTTTATACTTCTGATCAGTGTTAATAGACTCACTTATAAAGATAGAATCAGTTGATACTGTAGAGTTGATTAGAGAAGACAAGCTCATCTATATAATAACTTTATAAGTGTCTGAGAATCTTG